ACGTGTGCATTTTTCCTTCCGCGAGGACCATCGAGGAGCATCCTTGATCATTTGGCGAAAAAACCACGCTAATTAAAGCTGTGCGTAGCCCGCCTAGCTTTCAGCGGAAGAGGTTCGCTCTCGCCCCGCAGATCAAACAACTAGCATGCTGCCTTCGCTTCCTGCCTCCAGCCGGCGGAAGGGCGCAGCTCTTGCAGAGAGAAAATGCGATGTGGCGCCAGGTCTCGCGCCTTGTCCACGTAGATCCATTTAGTCGATGGCCGTGGACCGTGCGTTGGCGTTGAGCCCAACGAACTGCAATCCTGGCGGCTGATGGAGCTTGGTCCCACAGCGCCCCCTCGCACCGCCTCTGGCATGGCGGCGCGTGTGGCCAGGATCCTGCCGCGGGGCCTGGCTGCGCGGCGGCTGCGGCGGCGGCCGCGCGCCGCCGAGCCTCGCGGGCCAGCCCAGCAGCATCGCCGCCAACATCGTGATCAGCACCGCTCGAAGAGCCCGCGGCCCCCGCCCCCGACGACGCCGACCGCGCTGGCTGGGGGGCGGCGGGCTCTCCAGCGTGAAAAACGACAGCACCGCAGGGGGCGGCCGGGGCCAGGGGCCGCGCGTCGGCCTCGCCAGGTGCGGGGCGACACTCGGGCTGGAGACGTGCCCGCAGTTCCTCAAGCTCGCGGCGTCTGCGCTGCAGCTCCTCGGCGGTGGTCCCGAGCGCCTGCCTGGCGGCTGCCTGGAGCTCCTTCGCGAAGGCGGCCCTGTGGGACTCCCACTGCTTCTCTTCATTGTCGTCGAGCTCGAGGCCATCGGTGGAGTATGCCCCACCCTCATCATGGTCCAGCTGGTCCAGGTCCTCGGCCAATAGCTTGGTGAGGTTGAACACTGGCACTGGCCGGTGGCAGGGCAGGCTGTGCCCCGCGCGCGATTGGTGATGGCCAAGGTGTCGCTGACCTCCTTCTTGGCCCTGGCGAGCGCTTCGGCGGCGTCTGAGGTCCGCTGCCGGCACTCGTCGAGCCAGATGATTACCCTCTGCTCCGAGGTGGCAGCCTTCTCGAGCGCCTGGTTGGCGCGCTTCTCGACCGCTATGAGCCTCTGGTACTTGGAGTGCGGCGACTCTGGCTGCTCCTTGGGCTGCGGCTGGACCTTCTTTTTGAAGTCCTCGAGGGCGACCTGGTTGGCGGGATCGACGTGGCTCTCCAGGGCCTTGAGCAGGTCCCCCAGGGTGGGGGATGGCAGCCGCATGCTCGGTGTGTTCAGCTCTCCCTCGATACTTGCGAAACTTGCCCAGCCCGCTATCGCGCCATGGTGCCCATGCACCGCTGGCCTCACGCCATGGGGGCCTTGGGGACTTCAAGCGAGGCCGAGCACTTGTAGCACACGTCGCGACCACTCCAGGTCCACGTGAAGCCACACTGCGTGCACTTAGTCTAACCGTACTGCTGCTTACCCATGGACAGGACTGCGAGTTTTCTCCACGGGGACCGGTAGGATGCGTCAAAGTGGGGCGGACCACCCGGCGCTCGCCCTGGGGCTGACCAATTGAAGGATGAAAGCTAGCCGCGGACCAGCGGTATCCACGTGGTTTGGTGAGATCCTCAAAGATTTGTGAGCCAAAATGGCGACGGAGGAGGAGAAGGAGGAGGAGGAGGGTGAGGAGGAGGGGGAGGGGGATGAGGAGGAGGAGGAGGAGGACGAGGACGAGGACGAGGACGAAGACGAGGACGAGGATGACGAGGACGAGGATGACAAGGACGACAAGGACGACGAGGACGGCGAGGACGACGAGGACGACGACGAGGAGGAGGAGGAGGAGGAGGAGGAGGAGGAGGAAGAGGAGGATGATGAGGAGGAGGAGGAGGCGGAGGAGGAGGAGGAGAAAGAAGGAAAAGAAGATGAAGAGGAAGAGGACAGACGAGGACGAGACGAGAAGGACGACGAGGACGAGGACGAGGACGAGGAGGAGGACGAAGAGGAGGAGGAGGAGGAGGAGGAGGAGGAAGAGGAGGAGGAGGAGAGGGACTAGGAAGAGGAGGAGGAGGAGGAGGAGGAGGAGCAGGAGCAGGAGGAGGAGGAGGAGGAGGAAGAGGAGGGGGAGGAAGATGAAGAGGAGGAGGAGGAGGAGGAGGGCGATGAAGAGGACGAAGAGGAAGGAGGGGTATCATATGATAATAATACGAACCCAAATAATAAAACTTGCGATGCGTATAATTATATGAATCATCTCAGTAACAATCCCACTGGTAATACTAATAGTGTTAGTGAGGATATGATTAGTAACATTTGTACTGGTAACTTATGTACTGTGAGTCGGAGGTGAGGGGGTGAGATCGAAGTGGAACGGAGAGCCCCCCTACCGGGAAATCGATTTCGGTTTCGTGTTCGTGCGTGCCGTGCGGGCGGGCGAGGCGAAGCTGCGTGGGCGGGCGAGAAAAAGTCTCCTGTGGCTGAGGCGCGGCCGGACCAAATGTCTCCCTTCCGGGCGGCCGGTGGCCCGCGGTGTCCCGCCGGTGTC